CTTAAAACCGGATCCTAACCCTAAGTAAGACATATAGGGTGTTATAATAACACGGTGTTATGAATATAATATTTCTATGTAATATATAATCTATATTAAATAGGTAAAAATATTACTTTTGAAACATTATTATTAACTACTATATGGTAACAAAGCTATACTGCTAAAAAGTAGTAGCATAGCGGGTTTTATTATGATTAGTTAATTTTGAAGATCATCTCATCATATTAAAGTTTTATTAAAGTAACGATTTGCTATCACAAGAAATGATCCGGTGCCACTAATATGAGTCGAAAGTTAAAGCTTTACCTTATATACTGTCAACGTAATTCAGTAAACCGCGAGGTAATTCGGAAGTTAGATGAAAGGTATGTTTGAACATATAAGTTTAGCCTATAGATACAATAAATCATTAAATTTGACAATTTAAGTTGTCTTTATTTGTGAAAAATTATGCTTCGTAACCTAACTAATAAAGAAACTTGACTACGTATAATCTAGGCTAATAACAAATAATATCAGATATGAAGTTGAGAGTTACGTATAGGTAAGATTTATAGAATTTGCAAGAAGAGCTAAAACGAAGTAACTATATAATAGACCCAAATATAATAATTCATCATGTGCCATATTCTGAATTGTCAAAATTATTTCATCTTTGCTAGAATCCCATTTTGGAACTTTGCCATAATTATGCACATGCCATATCCAAATTGGCAAAACTAGTTTGTGACTTACTATAATTAAGTTATCCCAAATTTACAAAACTAGTTTGGGACTTTGCCGAAGAAGTTCTTAGTCAGAATATATATATTTCATGCATTCGATATATTTTATACTGAATTAAATATAGTATTCATATACAGTCAGACTGCAATGAACCCAATATCTCAATTCAACCTGACATATATAATATTCAAATACTGTAAATGCATTAATTGCATTAATTGAACCAAAGTTATGAAAGATTAAGATGTTCTATTTTTTGTTCCTACTTTTTATTACTGGCTAAATATCTGATACTTTTAAAATATTGTTTAACTTAATTTGTAGTTCAATTAATATATGTATATATCCTTGAAGTGACATACTACATACTTGTTTACATATGTAGTGCGTAGATGCCTAGCTCTCCTACCAAAAATTGGGCACCCCGGTAATTTTAACCAATCGGTGTCGTCTAAAACCGTGCTTAATCACGTAACACTGGCCAATAAAATTTTTGTTTTGATCGACAAAGATCAGCCCAAGTGGTTAATTTTTTGATGCAAATATGATTAATAGGTTATATAGATATCAAGAACATAATTTATGCAGTATATATTAGACTCACCTGGCTTTAATTAACAAAAAAAAGTGAAAAATGCCAAAAATACAAGAAATGAGTGTTTAAACCTGTTTCAGAGCATTAATAAAAAAAAATGTTTAAAAAGCAATTTTACTATTAAACATGTTTTAACCTTAACCTCAACTAACTTTTATTCTAATTTTTATAAATAGTTAAAAATATTTGACTAGACACTGCTTTAAATATTCTTTCCAATTTGGCTATCCCGCCCTTGTTTATTTAGAACTAAGTGATTCAACAAATTTTTTCAAATTTCTATCTATAACTATATATGTGATAAAGTCAAAGTTTACGCCAAATACATTCATAGATTGTTAAGTCCACAGATCTATTTATCCGTACGTACGTACGTACGTACAAGCAATACAAACCAAAAAAGGTGATTTGAATAAGATAAATGTGGTAGAGATTCATAGAGGGCCTTTATCTGATTGGTTGATTTGAACAATGTCGGGTAACTAATTTATACTTTTTAAGGCGTAACGTCTTACTCATTACACAAACAAAACCAAACATTGTCTTTTGCTTCATAATAAATTAATATCCATTATGCAAAATAATCCATTGTTATATTCTAAATTACAGAATTATAGAAATAATGGCAGAAAATTTTTTCTTTAAGTATCTTTTCTTAAGTTATTTACTTCCTACAGTATCAGCAAGTTTACAACTTTCTGATATGTTTAACTTTGAAATAATCGATTATATACCTTATATTGCGGTCACTGTAATTCTTTTAATCCTTATAATCTTAGAAACAATACTAGAAATTCTGAGACCCTCGTATGCATTATGGATAAATCGCATAACTAATTCTATCTATGCTACCTTAATAATACTTCTATTATTTATTTTTCCGCCTATATTCTCTTATGTGGCAAAAGGTTTTAGTCAAGTAACAATAATTTTAATAGGTTTTAATGCTACAGTAATCGGAATGTTCATAATTTCATTATTATGTGATTTATTAAATCGTTCCTCTCCAAAATATGAGGAGTTCGAAAAAGTCTCTGGATTATCGGTGATTTTCCTCATAGTGAATTTTATATGCTTAATGATAATTACGCCTGGTTTCAATGTTAACATTCATGTTCCATTTATAGTTATTTTATTATTAGTTATTTCTTCACCTTATTTTTGTTCTCGTTTTTGTTTTTGTTCAAAAAATGGATTTTTTGAAGGGTATTTGGAAGTAATTGTGTCAATGGTAATAATTTTAGTTGGAACAATGCATTACCTACTATATTACGGTATTTTAAACGAAGTAAACAAGCTTTCACTTTTATTGTTTTGGACAACTTTATGGTTTATATTAATTTCTATTAGTAAAATATTTATACCTAAATTTAAACTAGTTTTTATAAGTGATTATCCAAGAGATTATCCAAGAGCAAGTGATGCAAGTGATGCGGTAAGTGAGATCCCGTAATAAAAGTTGATGGTAAAATAATATCGATATATAACACTTTTTAGCAGTATAGTTTTGTTACTAGTTGTTAATAATAAAGCTTCAAAAGTAATATTTTTACTTATTTAATATAGATTATATATTACATAATATTTTTCATTACGTTACAGATTAGTAGCTTTATAGATATTAGTCTTATGCACCATTAGCAATATTGCATAAAAAATCATTCAATTCTTTTTTAGTTTTTCATGGGTTTGGGCACAGGAAAAAAATTATGAATGCCCATAGGGGCATGCCTTGAGCTGGGGCATGCCCCTCATGCCCATAATACATTAGTAGTATAGTACCCTAGCCAGCATAGCGGCCTTCATTGTTGATTGTATATCATCCCGTGATATCGTAAAAATTTTATTGGTTAATCGAACTTTTAAGCTTTAACTAAGAAGCTTCTATGTATATATCTGTGACGAAATTAATACCAGCAGAATTTTTTAATTTTCATCGATAACTTTAAACCAAAAACTGTAACCTTGCTGCAGGCAAATTATGACAATCCAAAATTTTATTAAAAAAAATCCTAACATATACGAACCAAAACCGAAACTAATAATGAAATAATTTGAAACAATTTTCAATATCAAGCAGATCTTTATTTTTATTTAATTATCCATCACTAGTACATACATAATTTTATAGTTAGGATTAGAATTAAAAAATCTTGATATTAAGTCGTTATTGTCAATGAAACGTCACTTGTGATATTAAAATGACTAAAATGCTTATTTGACTTTATTTAATAACGAAGCTAATATATCATATATAATCATGTCTAATAGATTTTAAACTAATTAATTTGTAACTAGTCTACGAACTTGAAACACTTCAAATTCATCTACAGTAAACCATTCGCTTTCGCTAATTTTTCTAATTGGAATTTCATAATCTTTCTGCTTACAATACCAGAATGAATCATTTCTGTTACTACCCATTCTAAGGTCACCACGACCAAACCCTGGGCCATTTCTTTCTGTACCATAACAAATTGCGTTTTTTCTATTTTTTACACGGCTAATAATAGTTTCATCACTATTATTACTTTGTAAAGAGAAAATAAAACTATCAGCTGTCTGCGCAGAACAATCCGTTCTAGATTCTTTCCAGATAAGAGGGTTGTAACCGCCAAGTAACTCGTTTGCACCACTGACCTTTGCAACGACAATAGTACCATGTATGTTGTCACATAGTTTATGGAATGTATTCTCTGAGAATTCATCCTTATTGCCCTTAAATAACAATATAAATTTATATGGAATATCGGTAATATCATAAGTTGTTGAATGTCGATCAATCCATGAAGAGATCACTGCTATGTGCTGTAACGTGATAATAGAATTGAATGAAAACCACGATGTCTGTCCAATGGGGGATTGCGTTTTCTCCCTTGTAGGAGGTAGTAGTATTACTGCATCAACGGGAGATTGTGGTTTCACCTTTTTATGAGGTAGTGGTAATACTTCATCAATGGGAGATTGTGGTTTCACCTTTTTATGAGGTAGTGGTAATACTTCATCAATGGGAGTTTGCCTTTTCATTCTTTTAGGAGGTGGTGGCAATACCGCAGGCGAATTCGCATTCAAAATTGGAGTTGCACATTTTCTTAGTATAGCAGTCCACACGTCATTTTTAAGAATATTCTTATAAGGATAAACTTTTATCATAATATCTTCATTAGAAATGTGAGAGTATTTTATAAGGGGGAGAAGATTCCGAAGGATAGTTTTAAGAGATTTAAAATTCAAATCCGTCCATAGCCCAACATTAGTTGGTAGATTTGGAATTCTTGCTTTTCCCCACAAAATAATCTTATCCCAAACTTTAGATTCATCCGTTCGTAGGTCATCACGTTTTAAAATTGAAATCAAAATATCTTCATGAAGAGTATCGAAATCGTCTGATTCAAAAATCAAGCCTGGACGTTTTATAAGTGCGTTATTGCAAAATTGTTTCAAATCTTTAAGCTCATCATTTCGGAGAATCATTTGATAAGCGTGAGAAAAACTCGATTGAAGCCAAGATTTTTTTTGGCGGATAATGTTAGCTTGAATATATTTAACCAATCGGTGGAACTTAAACTCACTGCTAATGGACAATAGTCCAAATTTATTTGAAATTGTCATGTTATCCAAAACCATCACGCCACCGTAGATATATCTATATAGCAAGAATTAGTAAATAACATATATATACAATTTAATAATAAGCATGTAATAAACTTACTTAAGAATTATATCAAATAAATTGGGATCAAGATGCGGTAATTTAATTTTTGTAATATTATTTTGCTTGGTTGCACTTTCTAACATTTGACGCAAATATGATGAACGTTGATATAAAATTGTTGTATGTGCTTTGAACTGTCGGATATATGGTGAACTCCCAACTTCGATTATCAAGTTATAATCATATTCACTTTCGAGAAGTTGAGTAAAATTTTTTGAAAGTTCTAGCAAAAACCTACGAGGCATTTTGTTTGGTAATTCAGATTCAGAGATTCAGAGTACACCTCAAGTTGATCATTAACCATGTGAATATTGTTTATATGTAGACATTTCAAAAAAATTTTTCCTGAACGTGATTTTTATCCAATTAGATCAAAGGAGCAGGTGTAACGTGAAAATCATGCAATTTTGATTTTTTTTCAAAAAATCGCTAATAACTCGAAATTTTGTCTATGAAATTGCCTTTTGCGTTCTAACAAAAAAGATTCCTTGCGAAATTTTAGTATAAGCTATGCCCTTCTTTTGGCTTAATCCTAACCTTAAAGACGTGGCTTATTGATTTAAATCTTTCGCGTAATTCGATTGTTTTGATTTTTACGTTACATCTGATCCATCGATCTACGACGCCCCTAGCTCTCCCACAAAAAATTGTTCACCCCTGTAAATTTAGTTATTCTTGTTTTTTTGTGAAAAAGTGTATTCGTTTCGATTTTTACATTACCTACTCTCAAATTTTATGTCATAACCCCTTCGAATTCGTATTTACATTCATGCCTGTGAATTTATTTTTGTGACAGCAAATTGTTAATTTATGACTTTATTATGACAAGATGATCTATAAAAATCCACTAATCATAAAAGTTCGCTGCGCACTATTAGCTAACAATTTTAAAAAACTTATTTAAATCTACCAATTATAACTAATGAAGCATTTTAACTATCACAATATTAAATTTATTGGAGTAATCTTTCATTTATATACACATTCCTTAAAAATTTACAAATAGTTTAAAAATTAATTCTAAAAGTTATTTATAGAAATTAGCAATTAACAACGATGCGTTCATGTGGTACCACTGTAACATATCCTTCTACATTTTTTTTAAATTTATCTA